AGCTAATACATTGTTGTAAAAATCATAAATAATATTCAACGTTAAACTGGTACACAATTAAAAACATTTTATTTAGGCCTATCTATGGCCTTCAAAAAGTTGACGACTCCACGTGTTTCGACCTCACAACATCATCCTCAGGAGTGTTATAACGTCGAAACGTGTAGTTCGTCAACTTTTTGAAGGCCATAGATAAGCCTAAATAAAATGTTTTTAATTGTGTACCAGTTTAACGTTGAATATTATTTATGATTTTTACAACAGTGTATTAGCTTGAAAAAACGCTAAGGAAAGGTAAACTAATTTGTTCTTGTTAAGTGGATTGGATTTCGAATTATTTTTACCAAATAACTTAAAAGAAATAGCTCAACCAAAAAACAATGCTGTAAAAATTAGATTGTATTGAATCATCTGGTGGAAACCCTCGCTAGCAGCAGCATTTTTACCGTAATAATATTTCACAAAAATTAGTCAGCTGAGGAGGATTTAGTCTAATTTTAAATCCACACACTAATTCCAAAATCCCAAATAAGCTCGCTTATTTGGAACTTATCATTTATTCTGTTTATATGCAAGTTTCACATAACACTTGGTCGAGAAAATCGTTAAGTTCATCTTGTTCTAACTGCCGCCATTGTTCCTTTGATATAATTTTGAAATATTACCCATTCTGCCTGTGGTGGTCTTGCTGTAAGTTGTGCATGAATGTAGACAGTAGTGTCCTTCAATAGTAGTTTAGGTATTATCTCGAGTTACAGCCTATCGTATATTTGAATGAATTCTGATCATTCACTTAGATAGCGCTAGTCACTCGGGGTAAATTCTACATTACCTTCAAAGTAAGAAACTTTGGGTTTAAAATAGTCTGATGATCCTTACCACTTGCATAGGGAAATGCAATAAATAACTTGTACCAAAAAGTGTGGTGGTCAGCCTAGTTCTCTCAGGGCTGTATGGATTTTGGTAGAGAGAGAGTTCTTGATTGATACAGAAGCAGCCAGAATACTATTAGATCTCGTTGAATATCAGGTGGTCCAGGCAAAACCACCATGTGGGGCATTCGGCACCATTTTTTTTTCTTCTAGTAAATGTAGATAAACTAGACATGAATGGAGAGGTTATGTTCCAATCATATATAGGTACCATCACTTACAGAACAAAGGTAGTTGTTACAGTCTTAGTTATGGTATCAGCATCCTCTGTATTGATATACTGTGTAATTTGTCAATCAGCTTTGTCTGTGCAACCACTGAATTGGTGTCTTCTGGGAGAGTTTAAAGATGTCTGCCAGACTTAATCCAGGAAGAGTGAACTGCATGAGTGTACGAATGAGAAATCACAGTACCTCCGTGTACACAAGTGGTGTTCTGTGGTTAACTACATAGGAAATCTAATAGGTCCATAGCATGGTTATAGAGCCCATGCATGTAAAAAGCTGTTTCCTATTTAGAAAGCAAGTAGCGTTAGCTTGGACAGTTGTATTTTTTTGATGGAGAATGAAGTCCCCGTGTTGTTCTGCAATTATGGATGCTTGGTTTTCCAATTTTATGCGTACATGGTCATTGGCATGGTAAGCAAAGTGGATAACCAATACTATTGGTATTGCAGAGGTTGCATCCATCATGTCACGTTTGAAAGTGAATTCACAGTTACCAACATTTCTGAGATTACTAGTTGAGGATTGAGCAGATAATCTACACTCGATGCAGAAACTCAGTAACCTGTTGGTGGAATATGCTGATTTGGTTGAACAACAGTCACATAACATCACAAGAAGCAGGTAGTGCATGTCCAATTGAGTAACCACTGTGCAGGTTTCTCTGGGGCTCTAAGGATTTAGCCAGTACTGAAGTACAGCAGATGTTAACGAATGGGATCATACACCTCTCTGAAAGTACTTGGTCATCTCCAGTAATGATTGTCAAAAAGAAAAAAGGCATGACCAGGTTCTGCATTGATTTTAGCTGGGTGAAGTAGTAACTCTAATTGACATCTTTTCATTATATGAACAGATGAATGTCTGGATATGTTGGTAGGGGTCCATTGGTTCAATATTTTAGACCTGACATCCAACTAATGGAAAGTCGAGCTTCAAGTTGAGAGCAGACATAAGACTGCTTTAGAATAAGACATTGGGCTGTGCAAGTTTTGTATTATGTTGTTTGACCTGTATAACATGCCTATCACTTTTGAGAGTTTAATGGAGCTTCTGAAGAGGCTTGATGGGAGAAGTTCTTAATCTATGTTGACAACATCTGTTTAGTTGCACATTAGAGTCTGTGGCTAAGAACTTGCAAAATGGTATTCCAGTAGATAAAAAAGCCAAGCTTGAAACTGTAATCAGGAAAATATGCATTCATGTACTTGAAGGTAGAATTTACTGGTCATATTGGAAGTAGAGAATGAATTTCTATGGATCCTGCTAAACTAAAACTGGTGTGAAATTGGCCTTAATCTGTGACTAGGAGCTCGCAATTTTATTGTGGATATGTCAATATCAGGGCTTCCATTAAAGCAAATTTCAGGGATGGGAATACTTGCTCACATTCCCAACTATATCTGAAGTGGTCTCTTCTTTAGTGGGAGCCAACAATGGTGAGATGATCTTGAAGAAGTTGGCCACAAACTGTTGATAATATGACCCAAAACTGTGGTCTTCTTGTTTGGCTGGACACTAGAACCAGTAATGGTGGAATTGTAGCGGTTTTATCACTACTAGCAGAAATACCCGCCCTCAGGGCAGGTATAACTGCTAGTTCCCAAAGAAGGCTATTGGGCCTGCGGCCTTTTCTGGAATTGTCTGACAGTTCTACACCAGTGTACTTATACTTGACATTCAATAATGTTCACCATGTATGAGAAAAAGGATTTTATTGAAATTTTAGTTTAAAAATGAACTATCATCACAGTATTACATCACAGAATAGATTTTATTGAAGTATTTTTTGTAGACACAGTTATCATTGAAAGTGTCTTGCTTTTCTATTGCAACACTCATGAGACTTTCACTAAAGAAGAATAAATAATTTTTTTAAGTTTGTTTTTTATTTGAAACTCACTCCTTTTAATGGCTGGAGACGGCTTGAATGGGTAATGAAGAAAAACTTTAATATAAGTTTAACATAACAGCAAATGTACAACGTTTCGACAAGGTT